TTTCATTAGGCGATTCTTGACAAAAAGGTGGTTCTTTCAAAAATTACTGATTTTATTCTGCTGAGGTCTCAATATTATTAGCAAATCGTTTGTACTTTTTTATCAGTGTCAAATTGCTGCATAGGTCACATTAAATAATGAAATTAGATAGGTAAGTTCTAACGTGTGATGTTTCGTCCCTGTGCAGCTGGCGTTCCCCGGCGGGAGGGCGCGGCGTCAACCGCGCCGAGAGCTGCCGCGAGCGGGACGTGCCCCGGCGCGGGAAGCACCGCAACGCGAGCGACCCCAACAGGCTCACCGCACACAACAACCAGTGAGTCCCATTACATTAATTCTATTTATTTATTTCAAATAAAACTACAGGGTCATCGGGACAACGGTCCTAATGTTGCTGGAAATTTATTGCGTGGTACAGGTACTAAGCAGTTCGCCTTTCTTTACTAGATGGCGCTAAAGAATATTTTACGTCGGGCATTTCAAAGGGTCCTGTTTTAATTTTAAACATTATTACAAAGGTTAAGACTAAAGGATTGCAGCGGATAAACTAGATTTTTTATTCAAACAGTTGTCTCAGTAAGACTGTGATGCTACTACGCGAATACCATTCCACACCATATGTTATTCTAAGAACAGGGATACATACTGTTAATATTTAAATATAATAGGTACCTACTTCGATTACCTACTTTTCAATTGTCAGTGAATTCAACATCATTTCTCTTAGAAGTCTCTATTCGGATAGAAGAAGAGGCTTGTCTCAGTCAGGCTTTAAAATGATGTACATATATTATATAACAGTTTAAATATGTTGTCAACATAAATATGGGCGATAAATCTATACTATTTGAATTGTATTCAGAATATTTTTATCTCTGTGCCTTGAAAATTTAATTTCGCGTCCATGACATAAAAATCGAATTTTTATATCGATATCGTGTCGATGATGACAGACAATGTTTACTCTAAAAGCAAAATACGCGCGAATTCGCCGCGAAACGCTGCTCCGTCCCGAAATATCGAATCTAGTCGAGACGGGACCAAAAATGGCGATACTTTTGTTTTCAAAACCGTCCTGCTCACCGCCTGAATAGACAGACATTAAAATGGCATAACTGTACCACAGCTAGATGCAAATGTAGACTTTATTATAACCTAGTAAAGTATTCTTACACATTTAACACTCGACTCATAAGCAGAAGCGTTCATTTATAATTTTGGACATTATTGATTTATTTTCTTATACCTAGCACATTTTAGATTGATAGCTTTGTAAAAGAAGGTGTATTTATAATTTGGATTTGAAATTTGTCGTCGAAATATCGAATTTTAAAACAAGGAAATTAACTATAAATGAGTAAATAAACTTAAATTTGAAACTTTGGAACAAAATTGGTAAATAAAAATTATCTATGTTTTATAACATAGCATAAACAATCTTTAAATGAGATAAAATATTTCATTATTTTCCATAGATAAGCAATGGTTTATTTTAAATTGATTATTATTAATTCCACAATGTTACTATTAATAAATGTAATTTAAACACAATTCTATATTTCTTAAGAAACATAAAATTTCTTAGGAATATCAAGTTTATGTGTACATATCATCTAAATCATGCTCGCAATAAAACGTTTTTCCAAGTAAATAAAATATATCAAATCGTTTTACTAGAATTAGGTTTCATATTAGTAGTTAGATATCTGTCTTTCTCTGTAATGTGGTCATCCAGACGAAAATATTAACCATTATTACTTGATCTCTCATTATATACACGCGCAATTGTAACGCGGGCTCATGTTATACCAGCTATTATCTTTCACGAGTACCAGTATATTGTGATCTATAGTTTATATCGTGACTCCTGCAATACACGTACCTTGTTAACTGGTTTCGTAGACTAGTTTTGCTTGGTCTACGGTTTTGAATTGGCGGAATGAAAGTGGTGGATCTTTGGTGTGGGTGTGTGCATAATGCGGGCTTTCAATGGTAGATGGTTACAGTTTTCAGTTGAACGCGAGACGCGATCGAACGCGCATTTCGGACGTCTCGTTAACGCATTGTCGATGTTGATTTAAAAATTGTAATTATTTATTATATTGTGTGTATTGTGTTGTATGTTTCTTTTTAAATTTAGTTTATTTTGTAATTTTGAAGTTGACATTGGAAATACTTCTAATTTAGGTGTTTTTTATTAAATTTTACAATTTTTTTTAATCTTTGCGTTTTTTTTAACTTTATATGAGATTTTTTTAGTTTCAAAAGGCAAGTGACACAAAAGCGTGGTAGTAAGTGGTCACCGTGACATATACACTCGACTCAGGAGCATTCCCATCAATTGTTTTTTTTCAATCCTCATTAGAATCAAATTTTTTAATTAATATTGTTTTTTATAATGATCTTGTTTGGGCTAATGTAGGCAGCTTCGACTTGATCACATATGTGAAAATCCCTTAGTTAAATAAAACAATAGACACCGACTCATAAACTTTTATACGCCTGTTTTGGGCTATGGTGAGTGACCCTGACTGCTAAAACCGGAGGTCGTGGGTTTCGATTCCCACCCAGCACAAATAAATTTTGTGATGAGCACGGTCATTTGTTCTGTGTCTGGGTGTAATTTATCTCTAATATGTATCTATTTAAAACTATATAAGTAAGTTTATCAGCAGTCTGGTTACCATAGCACAGGCGCTGCCTAGGTTGGGATCGAACGGCCGTTTATGAAATGTGTGATATATTTTATTATATTTTTAATAATTTTTGTACATTTAGTTTTAACGTAGACAGTAGTACAAATAGTTATAGCTTATAAGCGTCTAAGCGAAATATCCTACCTCTTGGCAATATCTTGTGCCAACAATAGACAATCCCATATTGTGATACTTTGGTATTTAACAACATATACACTCTATATCTCATTGTTTTATATCCACCAGTTTTCGTCTATTGTGAAGATTTTAAAACATAAAACGTATTAATTATGGTATTATTAACACTGATATAATGCGTTCACTCGTTGCTGTTGATTCCGAAGGAAGTGTTTCTACATTTTTTAATAATAATAATCTTTATTCGGGTATCTTAAACATATACATTTTTGCCAGAACCATTTTTTGCGAGGAGTACTGGAGACTGAGTAATTACCTTCCCTCTACCAGTGCCATCTAGGTACTTAGATGCTATAAATATGGTAGGTCTACCTTCTTTTAGATCTGGAAAAACATACATACACCCTCAGCCTATGTTCCAACTATAATTTTAGTACTTCTTTTTTTTATGATATAAGGGGCAAACGAGCCGACGGGTCACCTGATGGTAAGCAACTACCGCCTCCCATGGACACCTGCAACTCAAAAGTCATAAGTGCGTTGCCGCCCTTGGGGTCCTCCCGCTCGGGTGTCGGGGGGAGGGGGATTTGGGCTCCGGTAACCTCACTCCCTCAGTAAAAAGGCAACGAAATCCGTCTGCTCATTACTCTCCCAGTCATAAAAAAATAAGTACGTAACTCAAAGATTTTAAAGAAAACCCGAAAGAATCTGTTTGAATGGTTGGGTTTCTAGTGAAACTTGGTGAGGTTCGAACCTGCAAACTCTTGATCGCTAGCCGTTACTCTACACTTATCAGAAATTTATCTATTTTACCCTTCCAAGTTATAATTTCTTGAGATTTTTGGACTGTTTATGTGTTTAAAAACATGTTTAAGTAAATCACAAAATGGCAGCAGACTACTCATCCGAAGTCAGATTACGTTATCTAACGGAAACAGGCGTCGCATCCCCTCACCACCAATTATTTACTTTTAATCCACATTGTTCATTGACACTCACGTCAACATGAAATTTTTCTTTCCCCTCCCCCTTTCCAGAGCGGTGGGGGTGATGTTACCTTTTTAACGAATTTATATACCTAGATATGGCAGTCACAGACAGACCAAGATATTCTTTTTTATGTTACAACAAATTCTTTGCAGTGGGGATAGTAAGGCTTAGTTCAAGAATTTTTTTTTAAAGTCTACTTGCAACCGAAATTAAGCTAAGCTAAATTCTGTGTTGGCAGTGGATTCAAGTCGGTAGTGTACTGGTCAGGTTTCGAAGCCACGACCTCTAGATCGCAAGTCCAATGCTTTAACCACTAAGCTACCGCCGCTTAATTTGGTTTTTTAATCCTATTAATTTGGTAATTTTTTAAACACATTGACTGCACGGATGGGCGTAGTGGTTTAAGCGGTCGCCACGCCGCTTCCTACTACGCCGAGTGTGTGGGTTCAAACCCCACAGGGGACGACACTTTGTGTGATCCACAAATTGTTGTTCTGATCTGGGTATCCTTTGTGTACGTTTCATGTATGTTTGTAAAGTCCCCCGCGACACAGATTTTTTCCCCTAATAGGGGCGTTGTCTTTTTAAAAAAAAAAAAAAAAAATGCCACTACAAAAATTCCTTTATAGTATACTCGTTTTCACACTCAAAATAGTCGCATCAAAGTGATTCTCCAAATACCGGTATTTTTCTTTAATTTTAATGTAAGTTTAATATCTCGGCAATTTGTTTTATGAATCGGACATTTACTTTGTTTCTTACCGAACTTTAAACTTTCGGAATTATTCTTATTATACCGGAATTCTCATTTATATTTCAGAATTCTAGTTAAAATATCGGAATTTTTCTAAACAACACGGATGACTGCTTAATATATTTTGTTACAAAACTTCACGTGGGCAGAACAGACCCATCCAAAATTTTAAGTATCTCTTCTGTATTTGGATAAAAAGGGTACCCACAGACACCTGCGTCGTAAAATACCAGTCAACTTACGTTATATTGTAAAATACGGTAAAATAAACGGCAATTTTCTATCGTTAAAAAAAAACTAACTTGTCACGCCTAAACAATTTTGTAAAACGTTGTTGTAAAACTCCTTAAAGTTTATTAATCACTGTTTTTTTTTGTCAATTTCCCACCGTGACACCGTATTGGAAGTGGCAAAAATAAAATAACATTTAGAACATAAATTTGGGATGTTTACAAGTGTCATTCTAACGACAGTTTATCATTAAAGTATGTTTTTCTGTCTGTGTGTCCCAAACGCAATAAACTCCCAATGTATCTAGTAGGTTTTCATACTACAGGAGTAATTTCTTGATGACGGGTTAGGCGCATCATTTAATGTTTTTTTAGAAATTTAATAAAATATAAAGACGAGAGCCTAAAAGGCGTAAATAATGTATTACGGATATTTATTTTAAAAAAAACCTACTACAATAGCTAAATTGTAGTAAATCTTTTATGGTAGATTTTGCATGACTTACTTTTAG